GCCGTTGCAAGTGCAAGTTGCAACTGTTCTGAGCGTTATGAGCCCACTATTCCAAATCAGGAGTGGCAATCCACCCTCTGCAGTGCCCAAACTTTATTTCCGTTTTCGGCCCCGCTGCACCGGACCCACCATCCTATCACAGCTAGTGCGCGCCCTAGTCGAGACTCTACAGAAGGTACAACCTACAGCCAACTCTATCTCTACTCTGTAGACTCCAAAACTTTCGAGTTCCTTGTACTCCGGACAGAAAAAAGGTTCAGAATCACATCATTCTAGGTACTGGACTGTCACCTGATTCAAAGGACTGGAATGGTCTGTGCGGGAGTGTTGCTACTAAGGATCCTTGTTGAATTACCAGCTGCTTGAGGTGAGATATTTTCTACTTACTGTGAATCTCCTTGCCCCTTATCTATGAAATTATTATAATGTCCACTTGCAATAGTGCTATGTACTACAGCTGAAACACAAGCTCTTACTCTAAACTCTATTCGCGTTTCTGGAATGTGGGGACCCTCATCTTAACGTTGCATACGCTGTGTGTTTACTGTTTGCGGTGCCTTCTCCTAATTAATCGCCCAAATTTCGTATGCCTGACGTGACAAGGTTACGCCTCCTCCTGTGCAGAGTTTTTCGGCTGTACAGAATTTTCAATATGATAGAATGTCATTTCTCATAGTCAATGTACAGGACCGTTGAAACGCCATGACCTGGGTATTTGATTCCCCCCGACCGTCTCCATAAATTTCGTGCAGTAGCCAAGTAAAGAACTGAAGAAACAAGAGACACCATAGTACAGGAGCAAGCTAGACCTAAAAAATACAGAGGTGGTTCAAGCGGTTGCCGTGAATTCGTCCAATGCAACGTAGTCGTCAAACCCAAACGTCTCCCGCTCCTGGATCGGTGCATCGTTGCCCAATCCCCAAGCAAAGCGGCTGAACTCATCGTAGTCAGGATCGAGCTCCTGGGGCGCAGAGAAGACAACCTCGCCCTCCTTGGTCGCGGCCTCGAGCTCCAGGTGCCCCGCGTCATGGCCCATCGAAGTGGGCGAGCGGGGCGTCCCCGGCGTTGGGCACAGATCGGGCGTGGACAGGGTTCTGGTGGAGACCATCTCCATCTTAGGCGAGCTCGACCCTGAAGCGGAAAATCGTGTTTGAGCCACGAACGGCTGGTCGGGCTCGGACCGGACTCGTGTGTGATTCGACACCCGTCCGTAAGTGGCATCAGAGGGCGGCAAAGAAGCAGGCACAGCGGATGGGAGACCGTGCATAGAAATCTCGGGAGCCGAAGCCATGCGGTCTCTGAACTGCCGTGTCGGGGCCCCGTTCCAGAACTGGGGATGCTGTTGCAGATGCTCTGGATATTGCTGTGGTTGGAAGCCTGCCCAAAATGGGCGAAATTGCTGAGACCCCGCAGCCTGTTGGGGCGATGGTGGCGCCTGTTGAGCGGCATTGGCAAGGTATGGTGGAATCGGAGTCGAGGAGGAGGCGGGAACCATCTCTGGATACGGTGCCTCGGGCGTCATACAGGATGACTGTGGGCTCACGTTATACGAGGGGGGTGGCATGTAGTTGTGATCCATTACCATCGGACTGGTCATGGCCCCTGTCGGCGTGCTCTCAGAGAAAGAAGAACGGAGGCTGGATAGATCCAGGCTCATCTTGCGCACGCCATTCTCCGGACCTTGAGGTGAGTTGGCCGCACGGCGTTGTTGAATGCCGTTGCTTCGGACGGCCAGCGCCGCCAGTAGTTGTCGATTCAGCTGCTCCTCGATGTGCAGGTTCTGCGCTTGAAGCATACGGATCCGCTTCTCTTGGTAGCGCTCGTCAACTTCTTCGTACATGGCCTCGCGTTCGACGATTTCTTTTGTAATGTGAAGGGCTTTGCCCGTGCGCTTTTTGTGCAGCATCGAGGCCCGGTTGGCCGATTCCAGACGAGCATCTAAGCTTCGATCTTTGCGTCTGGAGGCAGCAATGAAGGCTCTACTGGGAGTCAGTCTTGACTCGATTTCGGGTAGGAGACGAGAGCAAGAACAAGAATTACCTTTCTTGGTTTTCCTCTCGCGAACGAGGGATGGGGGCGACATCCAGATCCAGATCTGGAGACGCCATTGTGAAGGAGACTTGTGAGTGGTAAAAGAGTAAGAGTAAAGAATTGGGTATTTAGACACAGATATATACCATCAACGGCAAGCTATATACGCAAGACTTGCCTTCTGTTCAAGGGAAAAAGGGACTAGTAATATTAGAAAGAGGGAAAATGAGAGAGGCGGCGAAGCAGAAGAAATAAGTATGGACAGGAGAGGAGAGGAGAGGAAGAGGAAAGTATCCCAAGACAAGCGACAGTTAAACTTTGGGCCTAGAAGGCATCGCCCGATCCCTTCTTAGGGGGGTGTGTTGGTGGGTATGGGTAGGCAGCTGTCAACACAGACACAGCGAAGTCTAGAGCGAGGAGCCATGGGTTTCCGGGGTATGGGAGAGTTTGGATCCTTCCCCGTCGAGGCCACCAAGGGCCCTGCTGAATCTTGGTGCAGGCTGGAGAGTAGTTCTGGATGGCGCGACTGCCTGTATCCATGGATCCGAGGAAGAACCCCCCAGAGCCTAGCCTAGGCAGTGGACGAGCGCCTTCTCGTCTAATTTTTAGTAAGTACAGTATGTATGTATGTATCCTTGTAGGTATGTAGGTAACTATGTGGTAATAGGAGGCACGGCAAGTTGTGTTCTGAGTGCATCCTGCGGAGTTGGTAGCTAACCTACAACCTCAGTAGGTGTGAGAAGCTGAGGACCGGGGTCTGCTCGCCTTGTCTCAACCTAGTGGACTGGCTTGACTCAAGCTGGAAAGATTTGTCAGACACGAGAAGAGGGGTCGCCTCATCCTCTGGGCATGTTTCTGGGCTGAGGGAGAGGCTTACCCCGGAACTCATTTCCTCTTGAGTAAGGCGAATCACAACAATCAGATTGAGTCCTTTTCTTCATCAATGGGGTACTCCCTTTGTCGGATTGTCTGCAGAAGCTGAATTCGATGTTCGAGTCTAGTCTAGACTCTAGACCAACCGGGCCGAATCAAAAGCCCTCGATAGTACCCTATGCATACTACCTGGAGTGTGATACTCCTTGTAAGACTACACTCAGTTTCCGCAGTACGACCGAGGCCTTTGCTGATTGTTGGCCATAAGGTACCCGCTAGTCTAGTCGTAACGGTCAAGAGCAACCAATAATCTAACCTATTGAGTCCTGCCAAAATAGACGACGGACTCGAGCAAACTCTACCTAAGAAATGAGAAAGAATGTGTCCAATGGTCAAGGAGGAAATGCCCCCATAGTTTTCAAGGCCCCTACGGAGTACGGAGCATCCCCAGGAGTCTAGGGCAAGGTAATCTTGGGAGCGATCATTCTAGCCATGCAACTGTGATGGATATGGTGATGGTCCAAGCTAAAATAGCTGACCCACCGACCGGCAGTCAATCAATCAATCGTCTGAAAGCAAACCAGATGCTGAAAACTTTTCCGGATCTGCGTCGGCTTTACACGGCTCTAACTGATGTCGCTGATGAAGTCACGTGATTTACAAACACCCCCGCCTGCTTCCAGATCAGGATCGATCTTTCCCAATAGGGCAGTTCGATCTGAACAGCTTCAGACATGGATCAGTCTCTCTCCATACACGGTACCAATCCCACTCCATCATCCTATGAATGCGCTCTCTCAATGAGTCGGCGAGTCGGAGTTCTCCAGATTCCACATCTTACTCTGAGTGAAATCAACCTACTTGCTGCGTTCGCTGGAACTTGTCTCAACTCTGATAATGAGTATTTTAGTACATGCATGGGCTAGCTACGAAACTCTTGCAGATCAACTGCGCAACGAGTCGAGATAGGCAAGAGGTAGTAGTGTCAACCAATACCCCTCCAAGGGACTGTTAACTCGTCATCTGAACTACATTTGTACCTGCATCAGTCTCATGCATGATGATTCAAGGCGTTACGCTATCCTAGCCGTCAATTTTCATTCATGACTCGATGCCATGATCTGCAAATATTCTGCTAAGCATCTTCAAGCACTGCTATTAGATCAGCCCACCTTGTCGCTTGTCACGGTCCCTCCCATCTTGCATCCGTGGTTGGACTGAACCGTTCGATTCGCCACCCCGAGGGAAAGTCCCCAGACACTTTGTTCGGGGTCGCCGTTTGTTATCAGCTCTAGGCTATTCGCGGGGCTCAGGTCTTCTCTTCTTATCGTCCTATAGCCGGCGCTGTACCGACGAATAGGTACCTGTTTGGCTTCGCCGTTTCTCGAGAGTCGACCATTCTTATGGCTCGCTTTGTAGATAACCTGATAGGTCCTCGTGGAGATCTAACATTTTCTCTTACTCTCATGCTCTCGCGTTGCTAACTCCTGTTCTCCGAACTGCGCTGCGTCCCACCCGAGACACGGCCGAAATTCAAATGTCGGGTCTGTGCCACCGCCACAGCTGGCCCCATCACTAACACGGGGAATTAATACGGAGTATTTCCAACGGTATGACCTATGCGTGCCAGCCTGTCATTCGTCAATGAGTCCAGCTGCCAGAACTACCTAACCAGCTAGGAGGCTTGTGCGCAAGGGCTAGACTGAATCTCAGCCTTACGGCGAGATAGACGGCATCTGTCTTCGTGGGCACGGGGGATCTCGGCGTTACTCCTAGGTCCTTGGTCCTCGTCTATCAATGCTAGCAATGTCAAAACAAAGTAAATCAGCACTTTAACCAAACGCGTATACCGATATACCGCTAAATCTCAGCAACCAACAGTCTGCTCAATCTATTGGTATGGAAGAAAGAGGATGGAGAGAAAAGACTGCTCAATCAGCCAAAAACGAGAAAAAGAAAAATTATGGACAATCAATGCTTGTGGCGGAATCGAACCATCGAGGATCACAGTTCTCAGATAGACAAGACCACGGGAAGCACACGGAGAAACATATCGGGGATATCCATTACAACTTGCTGGCCATCATCTCCATTCCCTAGGCAATTCCCAATGGTGGCACCATCCCTTGTTCTTCTTTCCTCTCGGCGCCTACCTTGTACGACACTCTAAACCGAATCTTGACCGAATTACCCTTGCCTGCATCGACCCCATCTAGTAACATCTCCTGCTGGACGCCGTTCTGCTGCAGCGGTCCGATATCTCGTCCAGACTGCGGCCGGAGCTGCAATGTATAAGACTGTAGCGCTTTTAGCATGGCTTCGTTCTGAATCGTAAGTGGGGGAACTAACCTTCTCTACGGCCACCTGAAAGTGCAGCTCATTCAGCGGCTGGCCGGTGGTGTTCGAAAACAGGGCTACCACGTGGATCTGCCGGGGCTGGCTGGGATGCCGCCGTGCAACGAACTCGATCCGTAAAGACGAGTTCAAAACTTGCACCTTATTAGTGGTTGGGAGGGCGTTGCTTTCCGGCAGTGAGGAAGCAAAGTTCCACTCGTCATCTTCTTGTGCCTTGGCGCTGCTACCACTGGCAGCTGCAGTGTTAGGAGGACCAGCTCCCACCAAGTCGAGGAGAGACGAAGAAGCAGCTGCGGGTGACTGAGTCGAAGAAGCTCCGGACGGGAAGGGACTGGAGGCCCGAGGGCTTGCGGACACGAGAGCTGCAAAAGGATCGCTCGCAGGGGGCGGCGGTGTCGGGGTCGCAGTCGGTTGCTGTGGTGGACGGGGAGCCGGGGAGGAAGACTGCGGGACCGGTCGGGACGAGTTGAATGAAGCCATGATATCGTAAGAAGGCTTGAATCCTGCAGGGGCTTGTTGTAGCGGTGGGTTGGCAGACGTAGCCATGTTTCCTATATCCATCGTCAGTCGTCAAATCTTGCACCATCCTGTTCCTCAACGGCACTAACCAGGTCCCAACGAGATACTACCTGCAGGGATTGGCTCCTCTATTGACAAGCCAAGCAGGTCATTCTCCAAGGAGCTGCCCCCGGCCGCTGGCGGCGCATTGCCGTTCGAGCTCGGCTCCGGGTCGAAGTCGATCAAGGAGAGTTCGTTGTTTGCGTTCTTCGATACCCCCGTCGTAGTGCCTAGAGTACCCTTGGGAATCCTGGATGCCGCATCGTAGTCACCCTTCTTAACCAACTTGTAGCGTTCAATGGTGCGGTGAATGCTGTCATTTATTTCCAACAGTTTATGGACAGCTTCTGGGTCATCTGACTCTTCCTCGCACATCTTCTGAATCTTCGGATGAGCACTTTGAAGTGCGCTCGCAAGTTCCTGTTCGAGTTAGTGGCCACAAACGTTCAGAGTCGCCCATGCGCGATCCTCACCTCGAACACGTCGCCTTCGGCAATCCGATCGCCCGGCTTGTGGCTCTGCAGCATCTCCTCCAGAATCTTAGCCTTCTGCTGCACCTTGGCCACTTCCTCTGCTGCCTTAGCCCGGTAGTCGGTCTTGTGTCTTGTGTCGAAACCGGCCATCACTTTCATCAACCGATTGGCTTCCTGCAGGTCCGCCGGCGTGCCTCGGCGGATCAATTCCTGCAGCTTCGCCGATTGTGCTTCCCGCTCCTCCTCCTCCATCTCCTCAGCCGAACGCAGGTTCTGTTGTCCAGAAAAAGTCAGTCCTACTCAAGTCACCATACGCGGAAACCAGGAAGATAAGGACGTACGTCGCTTGGGTTCAGGACAGCGGCATCCTCATGACGGATTTCAGGAAACATGTAGCCCTTGTATAAGAGCAGGCGGTGCATGTCACGGATATGGCCCAGATCGTCCTTGTACCTCGACGTCTGGCAAATAGTCTGCCGCCATTCTTCAATCGACTCCAGAATCCGGTGCTGCACCCGGGAGGGCCGCATTGGCGGTCTTTCCGGGAAACGACGAACCAACTCATTGAGAAACTCCTTTGTACTGATTTGGAGGTGGAACGGATAACCGCAATTTTTGACGCAGATGTCGAGAAGCTGTTCACAAGCAACCGTGGTCAGCCCCGCACCAGCTCCCTGTCCGCCAGCCAACGAAACCACCTACCGCTAACGCCAGCAATGCGACATTTTGATTTCGGGAATTAATCAGGCGGACAATCTCAAATGCTGCCTCTCGAGGACTGTAATTGATAAGAATGCGCCTCCTACGTATGAATCAGGATTCCGACCGGCGACTCACGCGTTGCCTTTTTTGGAGTTGATCAGGTCCGCAACCTCGAGGTTCAGGGCAAGGTTGGGCTCGTAGAGAGAAAAATCACAGGCATTTCCTATCGATCATCAAGAGTCAGTTCAGGGCTCCTGCCAAGAGGCACGATTCGAGACGTACGAATGGCTCGTTGCAGCGGTGTGAGCCCGACATCAGCGTAGGCACCATAGCGGTCCCTAGCTGCCATACGTGCCGATGCTGCCTCCAGGATGACAACTGAAGAAGGAAGAGGAAGAAAAGTAGAGGGGGGCAGTGACAAGTTCAAGTAGTAGCCAAGCTGGACACACTGGCACAGACGACAACAGCTGGCTAGTAGGTGTTTGATGAATTGGAATGCCGACACTCTTGACTGCCTGGTGCTGGCGGGCGATGGAGAGAGGGTGCGGTACCTATGATTGCTAGTTCGGCGGGCGGAGCTCCACGTGTGGCGCCCTCATCGGCGTCTTGCCTCCGTTGGTAGAATTTCTCAATCACATCTCCTACATTCATCACTCTTACTTCCGCATACTGATTTTTGGCTATTAATTCTTACATTGCTATTGAACAAGCTATCGCAGATAATGGTCCGTCACAAGAAAGACAACTTCCCCCGAGGAGGCAAGAAATTCTCCTCTAACCCCCGCCCACGCCCAGTACCCCGCGATGACGACGATGGTTCGGCTACAGACAGGCCTGCCTTTAAAGCTGCCTGCTGGGATCTAGGACACTGCGATCCGAAGCGATGCTCTGGAAAGAGACTGATGCACTTTGGGTTGATGAGAGAACTGGCGATTGGCCAGAAGTTTGCCGGCGTGGTGATCTCGTAGGTCTCTTTTCTTCCTCGCCTCCATGTACGGCGAAACTAACGGGCAGCTATTAGGCCAAATGCAAAGAAGATTCTCTCCCCGGCCGATCGCGAATTACTAGAGCAATTCGGAGCCGCAGTGGTAGAGTGTTCCTGGGTGAGGGTCAAGGAAGTCCCATGGTCGCGAATCGGCGGCCGGTGCGAAAGACTGTGTAGGTGTCTTGTCTCTAGTCGCGACTATGCTCCTTGCAGAACGAAATGAGCTGATGATTTTTTGATCTGCAGTACCATATCTCATTGCAGCCAACACAGTGAATTATGGACGGCCCTGGCGGTTGAACTGCGTCGAAGCGTTAGCAGCCTGCTTCTGTATCTGTGGACATGAAGACTGGGCGCGAGAGGTCCTCAAGCACTTCAATTACGGCGAAGCTTTCCTCGAGATCAATTCGGCACTGTTGAAACGATACGCTGCCTGTGCGACGGAGGAGGACATCAAGAAAGCGGAGGAAGAGTGGTTGGCCAAGATTGAGCGGGAGTACGAGGAGAACCGCGCAGAGGGTGGTGCCGACGACATGTGGACAGTAGGAAACACAAACAGACGATCTGCACCGGCCGAATCAGACGCAGAAGAAGACGAGGACCAGGACGGGGACGAGGATGAGGATGAAGAAGAAGAAGCGGAGGAAGAACGAGACCCCTACGCCATCTCAGACGACTCCGAAGACGAAGCCCAAATGGCCGAGATCCGTGCCAAAATCCTCAACTCGAAATCTTTCCAGAACCCTTCCGTCCCGGACAAGCCCCAACCCGAGAAAATCACCCGGCCGGATCCGACACCGGTAGAAGATTCAGATGCCGAGTCTGGATCCGCAGCTAGCGACGACGAGGAATTCGATAAGATCATCGATGCGACGCCGGTGACAGATCGAACGGGCATCATTGCCGCGTCGCAGCGCAAGGGCAAAGAGACGTTCAGTGCATCGTTCTCGCGGACAGTCATCAATGCCCCACAGAGATGGTAGATTGCATGCTCGTTACGATTTCAATCTCGTCCGCTACAGTCCAGTGGCATCAACTCCTGGTAATCATGCTATCTGCTCCACTGGACTTCCCTTCTCATCGAAGAGAGCCCTGACCTCTCAATGTCACAGTACTGGGTAGTCACGCCCGGATCGGGCGTATCTGGCCTTGGGATTAGTGAAATGGCACTCTGATGTCCGCAGCAGCTTTAGGTCTATCTGGACCCGACGCGCTCAGGTCATGGTCACCACAACGGTATTTGAAAGGATCTAAGTTGACTCTGCTTCTCTAACGTGCCGAAAATTGTGCATGAAGCCTGCAATGTCACGTCATGACAAAAGTTTCTATTATGACCTTGAAACAGTAGATCGACGATGATATACTTAGGTATCATTTAGTTTGATACTACGACCATGAAATCATATACAAATGCATCTGCGTATCTGCCATCTCGTTGCAGGGTCTCCGAGTTGGTGAACTAGACTATGCAAGGGACAAGCAGGTTACAGACCGAGGCTTCCGTATACTGAAGAGATACTCCATCGCAAGCGAAAGCAAACAAGCAATGAAGACAATAGACAACAGGGATATTGTGGGAATCCGCAATTAGCAGGCAACTTGCCTTTCCCGTTATTCTCCCATGCAAACCGAGTGAGAATACAGCGTCCATTAAGTGTAACTTATTTACATGACGTAGAGAAGGTTCGTATCTGTGTATGATTATTTACCGTTAGAGACGTTTGTTTCCCTTTTTGGATCTGAGGCCAAACAAGGAGGACTATTGCTTACCCAATGGATGACTGCAGCTCAGCTGCGGTTTCTGCGTGTACTTGGTCGCCAACTCGTCCCGGATGCTGTTCAGCAACTGTACATAGCTCTGCTGGGGGTTCTTCCGGAGAGCGGCGATGAACGCCCAGGACATGGCGCCGGTGGCCTGGCCGGCAATTTGGGCGTCCTGGCTGGTCTGGTCGTCCTTGCTACCGGACCACATGATGACGTCCGCCGGGCTGGTCTTTGTCTGCTTGGTGCGCTCGTAGGCCTCGTCGCCCTTGGTGGCGCGTTTCAGGAACCCGACCGCGGTAGACATCATGCCGCCCATGTCGCCGCGCGCGTAGGCGGAGACCACCCCCAGCAGCCCTTGTCCGGCCTCCTTGGCCAGGTTGGGCTCCTTGAGGATACCCTGTGTCGAGTAAATGTAGGGGAGGTCCAAGGCGGAGCCCGAGTGACACGAGTCGAAGATTGCGGTCAAGCGTACTCCCGGGCGTAGTGGGCGGACCATGATCCGGTGCATCTCGTCGTCCACGATGTGGCCGGCTTGTCGAAAGTCGACCGGGTAGATGACTTCATCGTATCCGTCTTCCTCGTCACCATCCAAGTCCGGAGTCTGACCACCATGACCTGTCACAGACAAAACATTAGTTTCGCGTCTGAGAAGCATCGGTATAAGCAAGGACTCACCTGAGTAATGGAAAAAGAGCGAATCGTTCGGCTGCGCATCCTTGACCAACCAATGCATGGCCCGCAGGATGTTAGCCTTCGTAGGCTGGCTCATGGGATTCTGCTGGTCGTCCGTCAATAGCACCATGTCCTCGCGCGCGTAGCCAAAGTTCTGGTTCAAATACGTCGACATGTTCTTGACATCGTTGATACAACCGCGCAGCTGACCCTTCTGCCCGAAATAGTTGATTCCAATCAGCAAGGCCTTCCGCCTACCGGTGCACCGAGAGTACTGGAAACTGTATCCCTGTGGAGCTCCGTGTCCGAACGCGACCGGATCACTGGGAGGTGGTGCTGGACCACCATGGCGGCCATGCGGGTAGGGGTTCTGATACTGGTTCATGCCTTTGTTACAGATGTCAGCGGCCGCATACTGACACTTTTCCAAAGCGGATGCGTCTCTTCCTGCGCCAAAACGCGATCACATACCAGGCTGTCTTCCACCGTACACCGCGTTTCCAGTCGGTGGTGGCGGCTGGCCGTATCCCGACGGCGGTTGCTGGATACAGAGTCAGCCACACCTGCAAGGTGTTTTTTCACAGTGACCTTCACAGATAAAGACATACATTGTATCCATGTTGTGGAGGAGGCGCGCCGTAACCGGGCTGAGGGGAAGGCTGGCCATACCCGTAAGGATTCGGAGGAGGATGTTGCTCGCGGTACGCCTGGCCGGGGTAGCCGCCGTAGGAAGATTGTTGGTGATGATGATGATGCGGCATTTGTCTTTCGAATAGTCAGTCAACGAAACAATCGACTCCAGCGAAAGAATCGAGATAGGCTCTTACTGATAAGGTTGCGGAGAGCCGTGATTAGGAGGGTAGGAGTACTGCTGGTGCTGTTGCTGCTGTGGTGGGGGATAGCCCGGCGGGCCAGAATAAGGCGGATAGTAGGACATTCCTGGTGGAGGAGATGCTGGTGGCACGGGCGAATAGAAAGTACACGGCACGAGGGAGATTAGGCAGCAAGACTGAAGATGTAGTGAATGGAGAAACGAGGTGAGACGAATCAGAAGCGGTCCTGGATCGAGGGGATGGCGCAGTTCAGCGTCCGGTGATCGCAGACTTGCAGGAAGTAGATCGATGGGCAAGTCAGACACGAGATGCGAGGGTGGTGGCAGCAGCAGCAAAGAACCTGAAAGCTAAAAGTTAAAAGATAGAAGATAAAAGATAGAAGAGCAGCTCAGAACCAGACAACGAGTGGAGACAACCGACAATGATACAGTGAAAGAACTATGGATCTAAGTAGAGATTAATTAGCAACATGAAGACTTACTCCAGAGGCGCCAAAGAGACGATTCCACTCACTAATCTTTGGAGAATATCTATACCTATTTTTAATGGCATTTACTCCAACCACGGTGGTGGTCTCAGTAATAAACCTCAAACTACTTCAAGTTATTCTCAACTCTCTTTTCAATCAATTGTTTACTTCCCTGAAGGGTATTCCTATTCCTCGGCATCCCCGATCTACCCAGACCCAGAATAATGAACAATGGCTTAGCGCTCAGCCAGCCCCGTCCACCAGCAATTTGTCATGCATATCCTCATATTACATATTATTCAATCAAATCAGTATTATCAGAAAAGTTAGACGGACTACCTTAGTCTATCTCTTCTCACTGCCTCTTATTGTCCGTTTACATCTTAGACTGGCGAATCCATGAACCATGATCTTCCCTGGCACGGACAGGCCGAAGGATCGGCCTCCATCACTTTCAGCCTTATGATATCTCGACCTTATGCATTGCATAGTGGAATATGATCATGCGCCTACAGTGATTCACAAAAAATATTATGCGTGTCAGATCTGCCGGTTTATCTTTTCGTTTGGTCTAATTTGGCATCCATTGTAAGAAAAATACTGTAGCTAAGTTAGCACGTGGCATAGCTTCAGCATCCTCCATACATAACCACACGACTACTATCCACATAAATCAAATTTTCCAAGGTTGTCTACCATTCTCGTAGAGATCACCCTCGAGTCATCGTTTGCTTCACCGTCCCCGTCTGGGCATGCCGCGTCCACGTCCTGCTCCAAGGGCGCGCTGGGCAGCTCCGGGAGGCAGACCACGGCCTGGCGCCTGTGGCTGCTGAGATTCTTCGTTCTCTGTTCGCAAGAGAAAGGATCTGATCAGTAGGGATTCACACACTGGAAATAGCCAGAGTCAACTCACTTATTGTCTCGTCTACACTGAGGATCAAGCAGGCAGCTTCGACAGCGGCCTGGATGGCGTTGACCTTGACCAGACTGGGTTCCCACACAAAGGCGGCCATGTTGTCCCGAACACCCTCGTTGTCAAAGTCCACACCAGCCCAGGTATTCTCCTTGCGGTGTTCCACACGCAGTCGGTTCAGGATGTCGGTGGCATCGAAACCAGCGTTGTCACACAATTGACGGGGAATCACTTCGAGGGCCTTGGCAAATGCCCGGATGACAGCCTGCTGCTTGGAGGGATCGTTCTGAGCGAATTCATGCAGGTAATACGACACCGCCATCTCGCAGGCACCACCACCGGCAACGATGGTTGTGTGGCGGAGAGCACGCTTCACAATCATGATGGCATCGTGCAGACTCCGTTCGACCTCCGCAATGAATTGCTCGGCTCCTCCACGCAGCACGAGCGTGCAGGTCTTGGCAGCAGGGCACTCGGAAAAGAGGTTGTAACGCTCACCACCAATCTGGCTCTCTTCGAAAGAGCCACAGGTACCCAGATGACGGTCCTGGATATCGCTGCATGTCGACTGCGTCGCCGCACCGGTCGCCTGGCACACCCGGTCCATATCGTCCGAAGAAACACGACCGGCACAGAAGATGTCGCGATCAGCAAAGTACCTGTAGACAGCGTAGACATTAGTTAGAGTGCCGTCAACAACGTAGAGCTTGCATTTAAAACGTACTGCGTGGCCAAATCACCAATAGGCAGTTTGCTGAGAACAACCTTGGCCCCGGTCTTGTAGATGGCCTCCAGCTTGTTGTAGATGATCTGCCATTCAGCATCGACGATGGCCTGATACTCAGAAACCTGCTCAACTCGGACCTCCGCGTTGTCCTTCTCACTCTTCAACTCGAGCTCCACGTTCAAGCACACGATCTTGGGGTTCTTGAATGACTTGGGCTGCTGCTCGAAACCGGCGTAGGAGAAGGTCTTCTTGAAAGCGACACCGTTGACGAAGAGGGAGTCCTGAAGGCCACCACCGGTAACCTTCTTGATACCAATCAACTTCTCGTTCAGATCGTCCTGGTCAAGCGACAGCACGGCATCCACGACCACTACATCATCAACGTCAGCCCTCGCCCCACCACGTTCCATTCCGCCAGAGCATCAGATAGAGGAAAAAGCAACTTACTCTTGGTGAAAAATTCCGAGTTACGCTTGATCAGCTTGCTGTTCATCGCTGTACCGGCAAGCCTCCGCAGAGTCTCGTATTTCTTCTCCTCGCTGCCCGCAGCATCGAGGATATCCACCGCAATCTCCTTCACCTTGTTAACGGCCACAGCGCTCGCTTTCCGTAGACCCTTGATGATGGTCTGTGAACTGACGCCTTGCTCCACAAGGTCCCGGACTTCCTTCAGAATCTCGCCAGCTAAGACAACGACCGACGTTGTTCCGTCGCCAACTTCGGCATCTTGGGATCGCGCAATATCGGTGAGAATGCGAGCGGCGGGGTGGACGATATCCAGAAGCTGTTGCCAGACGCGGTCAGTCGTTCTCCTTCAGACAAGTATAAGTCCGAGAAGGACGGCTCAGAAAAAAAACGTACTTTCATTACTGTCGCTCCATCGTTGGTGATTGTCTGCTTGCCGTTGCTGTCAACAAGCAACAGGTCTCCTCCGTACGGTCCGAGAGTGCTCTTGATCGTAGATTGCACTGCGATACAGGCATTGATATTTGAAAGAACCTGGCCCTTTCCTTGAGAGGTATCCGTGCCTGAAAACAAATGCAGAGTCGTCAGTAAGTTCTAGTTCAGACGGACAAAGGACGGGGTTCGATGCGGCTACGGACCCTCCTTCAGCACAATGATGGTGGGTGCTTGGCCTGCGAAGGCCATCTTGCTGGGCAATAAAACGTGTGATCGTCAAAAGAGAAAAAGAGAAGGGGACAAAGAAGTCAGTGATGGCTCAAGGAAAAGTGAAGATCAGTAGTCAGTGTCCTGAGCGATCCCAAGATTGACAGCTCCGGGGTGCTCTCGACCAAAATTTCCCAAAGCTCCTCATCGAAACCCCCCGTCGCCAAACTGAGGCGGTGACCAATCATGGCTCGCTCCGCAACCCTATGGACTTTTGATGGTTATTCTACCCCTCGCCAGATAACATATTACAACAATATCAGTGTGAAAGCGAATAAAGAGAGTATATCATTGTTCGCTGAATCTTAGCTTTGCTTTAATCAAGGCTGGTATCACAATGTTCCGAATATATTTACAGGTATCTATTTGATGGTTTGACCACACCGGGTAATAACCTATGCACGCTTGACCCCCCAAACGCTCCAACTCCAATAGAACCCAGAATCAAAAGAATAATCTTAGTTGAAATCCAACTCGTCATCCGGCGGCCCGACATATTCGTACTTCGACAATAAGTCATGATCATGATGAACTTCATGTACTTGCGGAGGCACGAGACCGAGCGCTTCCTGGCGTAACACCACAGCAGCATCTGTATCAGAAGCGTCCTCAACCATCATATGGTAGTCGTGCGATGTATGATGCCGTACGGCGTCTTCAAAGCTCGAGTGGGATAAGCCATGATGGCCATGCGTGTATGGGTCAGGCATGCCATCATGGGAGTGGTGGCCTAAGGCGTCATGAGGATGGTGACCCAAGCCATCGTGGGAATGGAATCGTGACAGTTGCTGGTTTATGTCGATGATTTGTGGATCGAGAGGCAAAGTTGTATAGTCGGTTATGGAATCTAAAGATCCTTGAATGACCGGTGGATGTGTTTGAGCAAACGTATTGTGGCTTTGGTGAGGATCAAGGGAGTTATTGTCCATCAACTGTGTGGTTTCCATAGTGCTCGGTGTCGACAAGCTTGTCTCATTCTCGTGGACGCTCAACTTCTCCATGGATACAGCACCGTCATGAATTAGCATACCGTTACTCGGTGGCAGTTTGAGCGTCTCTTTGCACTGGGGACAGTCTCGAATGACTCGACTGACGGTCTCTTTGATCCTGACCCAGTGATATTTCACCGCGATGGCTGCAGTCGTCTTATTGATTCCTGCGTGCTGCTTGAGATGAATAGTTTGAGCAATCTCGTACTGTTGCTGGGGATCTGATACGACCTCTTTGTCTTTCAGCATCAGCTTATCCGAGTCGCCGTCCTTCCCCTCTATAAGTTTGTAGTGGGTGGCTGCACTTCTCAGCCGACTCTTCTCAGCTCTATCGGCACCTCTAGGGTACTTAGAATGCTTGAGATAATACCGTATCTTGTCGAAGCGATCTTGCGTGAATGAATCATCGCCTTCGGAATTCAAGTCGCGCCCATAGATAATCGCATCGACATATTCACCGGGACTGGAAAGCACCTTGCCAGCATTTGGCACCTTACCGATCCGCTTAAAGCCAAGAGCATCCCAAATCCGACAAGAAGCCACGTTGCTCTCGTAAACCAGGTTGAAGACGGCATATGTGTAACCCTGTTCACAGTCAGACTCTTTCGAACCCTATCCCGGCTCTCCATGCGATAAGTGGGTGGTGCTTTCGCAGTCGAACACGAAGAGATCATACTGACCAGTTTAGGAGCCCATTCAAGATATCCCTCGCCCATCAATCGACCAACACCACGATTGCGCGCCGCATCTGTCACAAGAAACATGCCATTGCAGACATGACTACTACGTCCGGGGTAATTCGGCCGGATATTGAAGCTGCCCAAGCAGGTCTTCGTCCA